GGGATGGCTACAGGGGCTCCATGCAGCCAAGGTCCTCACCATCCACTGGCTGGTTGCTGGGGGGGCAGTCGCAGGGTCCCAGTGGTCTTAAGACAGATACTGAAATCCGTAACCCATAAGGCCTTGAATAGACTGGCCCTTACTTATTTCTCCAGCCTCCTGTTGAATCATATTTCTTCTCATTGTGGTCTGCTCATACTGGGGCTCCTTTGATTTCTAGCCTGTGCCTTACTCTTCCTCACAGTAGCAACTTCCCAAATTCTATTTTCTTCTCCTGGAATGCTCCCATATTCCCGTAGTTTACTCACCATTCAGATCTGAACATAATAGCTCAGTGACAGTTATCTAGGTCTGTGTCCTCTGGCACATGCATGTATTGCCCCAAATACTTCCCTTTTATTATGGTTATTACAGCCATGTTTTTACATCTATTTTTGTAATTACTTAATAGTCTCTCTCACTCATTGGGCTTCAAGCTCTTTGAAGGCAGGCTCCATATCTGATATTGTCCACTATTTTTGTGTAAAATTAACACTAGATGCTATCATCACATTAACACAAAGAATCCTAAAATCTCTACTTAACACTATAAAAATGTGCTCTCTCCATCATCTAAAGTAGGTCAGGCAGCTCTTCTCCATCAATATGTCACCATCAAGGCCACAAAGGAAGGGAAAGAATGAGGGATCATATGGAAGCTTTTTATGAACCAGACCAGGATACATCTCTTCCACACACATCCTATTGGGACAAATCTCAGTCCCAAGGCCCTACTGCAAAAGAGCTTGGGAATATAGATTACCTGTGTGCCTGGGAAGAAGAGGAGAAAGTCGTTACCAGTGAGCACTAAAGTTTCTGCCACACCATTTCTACTTTTAGGAAAGAGTAATTCCTGACAATAAAAAGCTCTTGATAAACATGAATTGAATGAATCAAAAAATAGATGGATAGGTGGATAGATGAAGGAATGGTTTTGTTGCCAGTGTTAACTTATTTATTCAGCCAATCTGTAAGCCATTTGAGTGTACAAACCGTATATGTATTTTCCATCATTATATCCCTATTTGCTGCAGAAGTTTTTGATGCAAGTAGAAGCTCACACCAGAATACATGATAATCATCACTTAGGAGATTATGTAGAATAAATGAAATGTTAATAGACTAAGTAAATTAAATATTTAAAGAAGGTTATAAAAGAAATTGGAAAAGCTGATGAATGTCATTATATTGTATACCTAAAATGTACCAATGATTAGAATGAATAATCAATAATGCAAAATAGGAAGAAAAGGTCCAAAGGGGTAGGGGTAGTGGGAGGGGCAGGGGAAAAGAAAGAAGGGAAAGGAAAAATGATGAGAAATGGAAAAAATGGAAATAAAATCTTTGTAAATAGGGAAGGATGGAGGGCATGAAGGGAGGGCTAGGAATGGGGAAAAAATAAGAACCAAGATGCATTATGTAAAGGTACAATTCCCAATGAGAAATGTAATTGTGTTGTATACCTACAATGTACCAATAAAAGAATTTAATAAAGTGCAAAAAAATAAAAAAGAAATTGGAAAAGCAATTTAAGATAAATTTGTGAGGGTCTGGGATGGATAGGAAAAAGAATAGAAGAAATTATGAAGAAAAGTTAGTATACACATAGCTGAGGGTAACAAAGGAAGAAATGGATGATAAGAATGGAGAGCCTTACATGAGTAATATCTCATCTGGCTAGTGTCATCTGAACACCATGTTTGCTGACTTGCAAACTTTAATTTTCTCTTTTGATGACTTACAGACTTAGACCTAGGAATGAGGGTGTGTCTTCAGTGAAAAGGTACCTTTCCTCCTCCTAGATTGACCCTTAGAGTTTAAAATGAGTAAAATGTGCACAGGAAGTATGTATTTGGATTCACCAGAAGTTGGTGCTACAGAAAGCCAGATCACACAGAATGGAAAACTACACTAGTTCCATCCCCAGCTGTCAGGCCAGGATTTCGCCCTAGCCTTTCTCTAATCAATACATAGAAATGCCTAGTGCCATCGGGAGGGAGCTGCATTTAAAAAAAATTAATGAAGTAGGACAGTCAAAATCTTTACATTCTTAATGCTCTTCTCTTCAGCTTTCTGCTCAGAGATGGAGATGACCCTGATAGCCACAGATGGGCAGTGTGAGGGTATCACTCTCCCCTCCCATAAGAAGGGACCAGGGCTACAAAAGTAGCAAACCCTACAAGGCAGGCTTCCGAAATGCACTGTTAAGAGTTAGTGACAGGGGAGCCGCTCTACCTCTGGGGCTACAGCAGTGCAGTGAGCTTTAGTGGATCAATACTTTAGTCTTGTCATGCTAATTGCTCATTGGTTGACATTCATGATCCTTCCTTGCTCCCTCCCTATGTAAACTCTTTATAGCTGGAACAGCGAGATGCAAAAATCTCAAGCCTTCAAAGCCAGCTCCTGGAGAAGAGAGAGGGCCTGGCAGCTGAGGTACGGTGCTTCTCCATTTTCTTGCCCCCCTAAAAAGAGGATTCATGTGTGTCTGCATGTGATGGTGTGATAGGGAAATGCACGAAGAAATGCCTGGAGTAACTCTCCTGTGACACATAAACAGTATTACCTTTTCAGAGCAGAACAATATCTCCTTCCACTCCTTTCCTCAGAAAAAAAAAAGCAAAGCATTCACTCATTCAGAGTTTGGTTGCACCCCTTCTGTTTGATGATTGTGTCGCCCTCCAACCAGTTCACAACAAATATGTACCTGCACTGTTCTCAAGCTGCTAAGAGAGAGAGAGAGAGAAGGAGAGAGATTGTACATGTGGGGTGCGTGTGTGTGTGTGTGTGTGTGTGTGTGTGTGTGTGTGTGTGTGAGATCATGCCTACCATATTGGCTTCCTGTCCCTGGAGCATCAGCTTTTCTAGCTGGCTGAACCTGTCCCCACAACCCTGTTGCCGCTGAGAACACCCCAACTCCTACTGTATAAGCTTCAGGCCTGTGTTATACAGGGTTTTGTTAAGCTGTTTAGTATTAATTGATTTTTTTTCCCATTTTTTCTTTCTTTCCCTGGGCGGGTCAATAGCTGAATGCTTCAGAAGCAGAGGATCTATCAACTGCAGACCAAGCATAGGGAGACGCAGACAAACCTGGAACAGTAACCCAGCCAGCTCCAATCGCTCCGACAATGCTTGGTGGCTGGACAGTGGAAAGCGGGAAATGTGCCACAGCCATGAGGCAGGAAATCGACTCTGACCCAAGCCTTGAGGTCTGGTAAGTTTCTTCACTTTTGGAAAGTGAAGTGAATGGTAACCAAGCCTTCCTTACTCAAAGGAGTAAGAAGTATTCTGTCTTATTTTGGTTAATGAGCTAAATATCAAAATTGGGAAGCTCCGGCAGATCTGGAAGGATGGGTTAGCGGGGAGGAATGGGGTTTGGCAGGATAGACAAGGGCTAACCAAACTCCAATTGTAAGGTAAGCCACTGCAGCCAAGCAGATGTCTTGGGCATTGATCCTTGCATCCTGTTATTGATTCACTCTTGGGGCCAAGAATGGGGTGGACCTATGGAGGACAAGAGGGGAAATGACACCATCCCAAAGGGCCACAAAGCCCTAATCAGTGATAAAGTGTTAAGTGGTCAGCCTGGAGATGAGGTTTGCTCAGATCTATTGATCTGTGCACCCCTGGGATATAAATCCTACTGAATTTGCTTCCGTGGATATAAATATTTATAATTAAAATAGCCGAGGGGCCTCTTACAGGCACAAGAAATGTGACCCATCCCAAGATTAAGTTTGATATCAATCTCTTCTATCTCCCTACTTTGTACACTCTTCTCACTCTCTTCCATCTGTTTATAAATCTCTGTTCTGTGTTTGGAACCCTATTTTGCTCACTCTCTGAGTGACCGACAGGCACAATGTCTCAGACTATCAGAAGCTGGAAAAAATCCATTCTTGTGAATGCAGCTTCCAGCTGAGGAGGGAATGCTGCTCTCCCCAGTTAACGTCATACCATTTCAGGTGCATTCAGGAGCCAGACTCAGAAAGAAATGGGCTATTTGGGGAGCAGGAGGAAGACTTTTTTGTTATTGTTTTGCTTTTGCTTTTAGAGGAGCACCACTTTGAATCCCATAAAAAATAGGCTGTGTAGCACAAATGTGTAGCCAATGCTGAGACCCTGTGCTGGATCACTCTGCAATATTAAATCTAGGAGATCAACTTGAAGAGCCCCATTCTTCTATTTCTGAGCACCTCATAAATCTAAATTCACATGAAGTGAACAGAGTATCAATTATCCAAGAGAATGGAAAAAGAAAGGATGCTATTGAGGAACTAGTGGGGGACAGATCCCTCGAAGCCAGCTGGCAAGATGGATACCATTGATCAAAGCTTTGTCCACTGAAAAGACACTCTTATACAGGATTAGGACCATTCAGCTTTAATTTTTTGAAATTTGGGTGATAGGGAGAAGTCTTTGAAATCTGTCATTGTGTTGCCTAAACCCATCATTTGCTTTGGTCCTAGGATACAAATATATTTACCCTGAATCTATCATCTACTTTGGTGTTTGGAATACAATCTTTTCAGTTTGGGAACTTCTATTTTTATGAAGTGTCTGTCTTGCCTCAATGCTTATATCATGAATGGAGTGTCTGTTCTCCGCAGTTTTCATTAAATTATATTTTTTGCCTACAAAATTAATTAAATACTTTTGAATTCTGTCCTCAAGGGTGTGTGTCAGTGGCTGTGAATACAATGTATAGAATATGGAGAGAATTCATTTGTTGGGTTTTTCTTCTCCTGATTTTACAATATTTAGTCACTCTGGTCTATGTCAATAAGTTAATTTATGTTTGCCTGTGTATCTTTGTGCAGGTGTCTGAACTTGGGAATCAATGAACATAAGCAAGTTAGTGATCCATGTTTCCCTACCATTTGCATTAACTGTGTCTTTCCCAGATCCATGTTAAGCTTTGGTTTTTTTCTTCTTTTCATTCAAAGGTGGTAATTTCGTAACTCAAAGATAGTTCATTTGTTTCTTTTAGCACATAATTGAAGATTAGGGACTATTTCAGTTGTCAGTTAAAGATCAGTATTTTGGACTCCATTTGGCCTACATAATTTATACAGAATAAAAGTCTAACAGGTATAATCACAATAGCCTTGGTTTAAGAATGTCACCAAGAATACTTGAGGTAGAAAAGCACTTCAAACTAAAAATGGAAGAATAGTCTCTCTGGTCAGTAACTTGTATGCTTCTGTGGTAATGGAGAGAATTGGAATGCAGTTCTCTTTGTTTGATTTATATGGCAACACCCAGAATGTGAAAGGTGTATTTTACTGTGGAAATAAACTTTCAACATTGACCTAGACAATCAGAAGAGTAAGACTGTTACTTATATCATGCTTTGCTAGGTTATAAAATAAAGCATAACTAATAAGAATAGATTCTTAGGGGGAAATCCTGAGATCTGCATCTTTCTCCTATTGTTTGCAATATTAGTCAACATTTGCTTGTACGATCCTTCTGAAGAGTAAGCTTATTTGGAGAAAATGATCTAAATTTCACATATGAATATACTCTACTAATTGAGTATGTATATACAGTACTTGTGGTCTTAGTGCCACTAAATCTAAATAGCATACATAAACTCATTGCTGTCTTGTGCTACAGGTCATATTTGAAAGCTTGTTGCCAGCTATAGGGAAATTATTTTATTACGGCATCATCTAGTCACTTAAAATAATAAGTTTTGGGGCCAGGGATTTAGCTCAGTGGTGCTCCTGCCTGCCTCGCAAGCATAAGGTCCCAAGTTCGATCCTTGGTACAAAAAAAAAGAAAGATAATAAGTTTAATTGTCTACAGTCTTGTAGGAATTTAACTCCTATGTTATAGATATATTCATATACTATATTTTCATTTTATATTTTATATATAGAAACATATTTTTTAAGTTCTATTTGTCTAAAAGATTTTATCTTCAATATATTTTAAAATGCAAGAATATAATAAAATGTCACTGTTATTTCAATAGTTATACATAAAATATAATTATATTGATATTTCACTGTTATTTCTATATTGATAATATATATTAAATTTCAAAGCTTCCTATGCATCTTGATATACTTATTTGATCCTTAGAGCAAATTTATGAGATAAGTTAAAGGAATAGTCATTATTTCCATTTTACCAATAGAAAATATGAACAAGTAGACACAGATATTAGTATTAGACTTGAAGCTGTTACTTGAGGCTATAGACTCCTAAGTGTTCTTTCCATAACAATCAGCTGCCTCCATTTATGTATGAAAACATTTTATCATATTCTGCATTTCTAGTATCTATTACAACTATTGAAATTCATGTGAGGCAAATTTTGGTTGATTTTAAATGATTCTTATCATACTACCCATGTAAATCAAAAACAAGGTAATAAATAAGCATCTTTCCAGCATCTTTCTTTGACCTTTATCACATAACAAGGTTCTCAACCTTTGTGGTGGCTTGTCTTGTACCTTAGTGCTAGTCTGTCATAGATCTTCTCAGAATAATACTCATGAGTGTATAAAATAAAACATGTAGAGTGATAAAGGAAACCAATCTATATAAAAATTTAGTTGTCAAGGTATTGAGATCAATTAAGTATTAAAACCAATTTCTGGTATGATAACATGTACTTTTTGTTAACATGTTCATAAAGTCCAGTAGTGGATCAACTAATATTAAAGCAATTATAAACATAAAGGATATTTTAAAATACCTACAATAATATCTTATGTAGGTATGATATGAAAATAGCCATGATTTCTATTGATGACACTGTCACCAATACACTTAATATTTTTGCGGTTTGTTTCCTATATTTATAATCAAAGGAAGTGCTAAATAGTGATTCAAAATTAGTAAAAGTAAACACGGTTTTTCCCATGTATGTTCATAGACATATGCATCTACTCCTTGGAAAGCAGTTGGTGCCAGGTTAAAAACTCCTATTCTATATAGTTCCTATTCACTTTTCAAAACTCAACTGAAGCATCATTTCTTCTATAGAACTTTACCAACCTTCTCTCAGTGGAGTTAGCTGTCACTCTTCTATTCCCTAAGAATACCCTACGACCTCTGCAGTTTTGCACTTAGCACTCCATAAGGTCTGCGTCAATTGACTTATCTGTCCCTCCTACAAGAGCCTGGGTTGTGCCCCATAGGACTTCATATTACCAGTGCCTAGCACAATATTCTAGCACTACCTAGCATTAGCAGGGGCTCAGTAGACATTTAAAGAGAGAAAGCAGGAAAATTCAAAGACAATGGAGCCATAGATCACAGACTATAATCTTTAAAACAGAAGATTAAAGTCAGTCCCTGAATGTTTGCTTGCGTCAAATTGTCTGTCAATGGAAAATAGTAGTAAGATGATCACATGGACCTGTTCTACTTCCCTTTCAGTAAAATTCTTAAATTATAACCTCTTAAACATCATAAGCCCATTTTAATGACCTAATAATAGTAATATCACAGGCTCTGACTTGTTTCTTTACTTGTAGGTTCTCATTTGCATGGAGAAAGAAGCCATAGGGGCATGGAGATAAAAGCCTTTCTGGAGCTTTTATAGGGCTTTATCAGCTAAATTTTAAAAGACAAGAAAAATGGCTTTAATGTTAAGGTACAATATAATGTGTAAGTCCTTCCTAAAACTTGATGTATTTGAAAACCACAAATATCCTTGAAATATAAAACATTAGTAATAAAAGCCTCCTAAATCCTCAGTGCAAATACTTTCTGCAGGATAAACACAGATGCATACAAACAGGGCAGTATACTTTCAGACACGCATTCAACTTCTCAATATTAATATCACATAAAAAATCAGAATTTATTCATGCACAGTGAGTTAAGTGTATGCACTCTTCCTTCCCAGTAATAAATACTTGCCATTCCTATCTGAATGAATGGATATTCACACATTAATGTGAGGCTGCATATTTCTTGGGTACAAGTTGATTTTGATCTACAATGAACTTGTTTATTACAAGAAAAAAGGATAGTTACTAGAATGGAGATAAAATTTGGGAAAAATATAGCCATTTTTATTTTATAGTAGTTATTTTCTATTCAGTATTTTTATGGATAAGTGCATGCTGAACCTAAGTCTTTGAATAGCAGTTTAATGAAATTCAATACCCATTATAGACTATCTTCAGAAATATACTAATTAACCTCACAAATTTAGGTTATTAAATTGAATCTGATTTATATAAAATTCTAAGATCTCAACTTGAATGAAGTTCATTTCAGTCTATCATTTAATAAGACACTGACCCATATATAGTGCATGTATCCTACAAGTCATATTTTGCCAGGGTCACTGATAAGTATCCAGGGAGCAAATGGTAAAATATCTTTCTAGGCCTGACACTGGTTTCAACATTTATCATCTTCTGTAGTATAAAGTTGAAAAACAGTGTTCTGAACTCCTCTTCCCCATTAGCATTCCTAAATGGAATGTTGGTGAAACACAGAAGAAAAATTAGACAGTGACTATAACAATAAATAAGGAAGATTTCTTTGGAACCATGGGTCAAGGAATTGACCTCAAAAGACAAGTCCATATTTAGGCCTCTTTGCCATTGGAAAGAAAGCTGCACAGGGCCTTAACTGATAGTCTTGTACTTACATTACTAAAGGTCTACAATTTATGCATGTTCTTTTATCTATTATATACCTGTTTCTCTCTGATTTCATCATTCTTTTCTTAAGTGATTATTCCTCTCATTCCTTGAAAACACATCATGTATTTTCAGTTAGATTCTACCCTAAATTTACTGATTTGGTATATAACCTTTGAGCTCTTCAGGGAGAAAACCTATGTAAACCTAAACAGTAAGAAACATTTTGAAAGAGTAGGCAAATTGATCTCAATACATGTGAAATATTTGCTAAGAATTTTTTTGGAAATAAATACAGGCATTCTAAGTGGAGGTGATAATTTTAGTATTACAGCAAGAATTTGATATTTATCATGCAATGCAGTGAATATCTTTCCCAGGCAGAAGGAAAAATATGGGTCTTGGAACAAAATTTCAAAAAGCAGAAAAAGAAAGATATTTTAAAAACCAAACTATACTGTATAACAGACATTCATTTTAAAAGAAACCAAGAAAGGCCTTAGCATGTTTTCAGAATCATAGCTTAAAGAAATTGATTAAAGCAATTTACTTATGTATTTAACAATCAATAGAAGTTGTTTTCATTAATCTACATTTTAAAAATTATTTGAAGATTTTAAGTATTTTCTAAACAGAAAAAGGTGTCCTTGGCAATATCATCTATTAAAATGTAGCCCTTATGCCTACTAATATAATGAATCAGATGTGAAGAGAGAAAAAACGAAAGGATGCAGAGGATAATGGAGCCAAGAGCAGGAGCCAGCTTTGGGGATGGGTAAAGAACAAATCATTCCAGACAAATGTGATCACTCTTTTAAATCGTATTATGAGATTAATGGATGAAGGGAATGCACTAGAGGTAATATATATGAATTTTACTAAAGCATTTGATACATTGCTCCATGAATTTTCACGTGCAAAATTAATTCAAATTGAGTAGAATATGTGCATGGTCACATAGATTGAAAATTGGCTGAAGGACCATAAACAAAGAGCAGTGACAAATGTCAGTCCCTCACATTTAGGTGGGAGAGAGTGTTCACTACATCTGTGAGAACCAAGGCCCACTTTTGCACCTATTACATACCCACTTCACTAAAGATCTGGCAGAGGGGAAGGGGGTAGGTTGCAGAATTCAGAGATTTTGACATAAGAGGAATTAGGAACCAAGACACAGTTAAAAGCACAAATAGAAAAAAAAAAAGCACAAATAGTAAAATTTAATATGGATCATTCTTATCCTTTTTAATAACTAAAAGTAAAACAGAGGATTACTAGGAAAATGGTTACATATAATTTTTAACAATGAAAACACTGGTTGGAGAAAATGCATTTAAAATCATACTGTCATTAAATAGGGTTTTTCTTTATTTAGTTAGAATCTGAAATACTATGTTCCTATGCGCTCCAAATTTAAACTCATCCAAAGAAATATATAGAAATGTTGAAAGGGCAAGAGGAACTGATTTATTTAAAAATAATTGAATCATGCCCACTTAAGTGAATAACTATTAGAGTATCAGTAATTTCCCCAAATAATTTCCCTGATAAAGACAGGGCAAATAATCATCTTAGGTGAACCTTGGCTGATAGGAATCTTTCTGATAAGTAAAATTCCCAAACACCACTTAGGTATCTAACTGCCAGGTCACCCTTAATATTGTTTCTGATTTTGTTGTTAAAATTTTTGAAATCATAACATTTCAACATTTAGAAGCAGAATAAGCTCTCCAAAAAGTAGAGTAAATAAAATTTGATTTTTCTTTTATAGAGAGCAAGATTTTATTTATCATCGAAGCCTTTCATCTTCATCTATTTATCACCTCATCCAGCCCTCTTGGCCATGCCATGAGGGAGATATCACCCCTGAGTTACACACGTGGAAACTGAGGCTCTAGGAAAGACAAATGACTTATACTATACTATCAACAAATGATAGGGTTATTGCCCAAATTTTATGGTCACCTAGTCTTGCAGTCTTTTCAATAAACAACATTGTTTTTCATGCGTATTCCACTTAAGAGACTATCTCAGAAGTCTTACCCACAGTCTGACCCTGACTGTCAGTTCACCCTCTACTAAATTTGATAACATATTGGAAAGGGGCCTCTTATGGAATCTGGGACATAGAAAGCACCTAGTGTTTAGCTAATTTTCCTGCTTTTACCCAATTTGCAATTTCTTCATTCAAGAGAATCTAATGGGTGCTGGGAGCTATCTAGCTGTGCAGGTCAGTTATCTCAGTTCTTCTTTTTAAGTCCAGTCTTCCAAGTTGGACCAAAAGCTTCATAAGAAAAGACCCTTCCATCTGTTTGCTGCAGTGCCCCCAATTTCTACTACATATAATGACATCCTACAGCCTCATCTCTCCAAAGTTCCCTTGTACTGTGGCCAGGCTAACTAAAGCCTCAGGTGACCACTTTGTGCCTACACACACATCAAATAAAATGATCCATACACCCCTATGTACCCTGAAAGAATAGAAGAAAGTCTTGGATCGGCCAAAAGAAGCTAGATAGTGACCACTCTTGACAAAATGTTGTTTTATTTAGTTTCTCCTTATCTCTCACCAAATCACGTCTGGGGCCTATATCACCATCATAACAAGTAAACCAGGATACAAAGCACTCAGCTGCTTGAATGCCCTTGCCTAAAACCTAAAACCTAAAACCTTCTCCTATGCCTATGCCCCCAGTCCCCAGCCTTTCCACAGAAAAGTCTATAGAGGAACAGCAGATCCAGTGACTTTGTAGCTTTTCCACACCCTATTTCCCTCAAAATTTGGAAGGAGAATAACCCAGAGAAAACCTAGATTGTAGAAAAGCTTCATGCTCCTTTAGTGAGTAGACCAAATCTGAGGATGGATCAAAGACCTCATACTCTAGTAGCATGCACAACATAGAGACCCCCATGCATAAGACCACTGGCAGGGTGAGGAGCTACTTAGTACCAGCCTCCCTTCTGTGGCCCCTCATAATGTGCCCCCGGCTAATTCGCATTTCCCTGTAACAAAGGCAAATGTGCATATCCTGCCTGAGAATAGTTTACTTTACAGATATTTCTGCTCACAAATGAATTAGTCATATTACTTTCAAAAAGAATACTTTTGTCATTTCCAACACTCTTCTTCCACATTAGTCTTATTGCAGATGGGTGACTGTACTTGAAGTCTTCAGTGAAGTGTCAGGTATAATTTAGCACTGGGCGATAAGTTAGGGATTGCCCTTTAGGAAAAGGCTAGAAGCTCAACCCTGACTGTCAAATAGGTCCCTGCCTTGCAGTGAACTCTGCAGATGAATGAATCAGTATTTGGCATATCAGCATTTCACAGAACTTCCATGCTAATGTCTTTTTGAAATGAAACTGAGAAAGCTGTTAACCTCAGTTAGCTGGGTGTCCCCTCTGTGACCTGGGTAAATCATCAGTGTAGAGCCCGAGAACACTGTTGTTACTGCTTTGGGAATGAGAGCTGGGACCGATGAGAGGAGCCTCCAAATCTCAAAAAAGTAAATGGGAATTTTAAATTTTTCTTTTAAAATGAAAATAAATACTACGTCTCCTAACCCCCTGATTTAACTATTTTTAAAGGATTTTTAATAATTTTATTCAATTAAATAGCATATTCTTACTTATTTTCTTTTCTACTCTTTGCTTTCTGGGGTGTGTGTGTGTGTGTGTGTGTGTGTGTGTGTGTGTGTGTGTTAAAATTCCTGGAATATCCCAAAACTGAAAATCTAGTCTTAGCTGTCATAGTAGCTAGGGTGACCCATCGGGGATTCTCTACCACTTCCTGAATATTTTTCCAAGACTCAGATTCAAATAACATTTCATATGAAATCCTCACATCAATCTTGTGAAGCAGTAGTTACTACTTCTGGATTTATGTCTGAGCACACATAAATCCAGAAACTGAAGTGGCAAAGCTGAGGGTCAAACCTAGAACTTCAGTCATCTTTGACTTAGTCAGTAGCTCCTGTGCAGCTAGGTATGATGCCACACACCAGGAGTCTTTCTTCTAACAAAGCAGTGCAAACAGGTGGTTTGTAGCCTAGGCATGCAGGCTCCTTTTTGCCCCAAAGGCTCTTGATGGCTTCTTTCTCCAGCTGTCCTAAAGGGAAAGGTGTTTATTACCACTTATACCTCCAGCCTTTTGTATTTACAATCTGCTTTACAATTGCTTTTATTAGCTCCAATGTGAATATTATTCCCTTTTTCACTTTGCCTTCTTGAGCTGCCTGAACTGGAAGAGAAGTACATGGCTGAAGTTATGGCTCCCTCCCAACTTTGAAAGTTCAAGAGGAGCACGGTGCAAGATGCTGGAATAATTCTCAACCAACAAGAAAACAAACAAGGGTGAGTGGACTCCATAGTTTTTAGAACAATTATGAATCCATGATAAAATTGACTTACATGCTAGAAAAAATAGAAAAGGCATAAATTATAAAAGGGGCAATAGAAAGCCCAGAAGCATTGTAAGTGTAGTGCTTGAAAAAGAAGCTTTTTTACTTGTTCTTTTCATTCTTTTGTTAGTGGAAAGAGGATCAGAGTGGGAGGGAAACTGGCTTGTATTAACAGATTTAATCCTTGATAGGACACAAGATACAAGGGCTTGAGGACCACCAGTAGGATCCAACTGCATCCTTTTAAGTATGTGAAAACAGAAGCTCAGAAATGTTAACAAACCAATTTTCCCAAGGCCACAAAGCTTGTTAAGTTGAAGATTTAGGATTTGAGTGCAGATTTTCTCATGGGAAATCAGTGTTCTTAAGACATCTAAGATGGTCAGGAGTGGTTCCTTTCTTTCTTGCAAGTCCCAAGTGACAATCCCAAAGAAAAGAGAAGAAATTGACCACCCAGTGTTCCTCAGTTTTGAAAAAGAGGCAGCTTTTCTTTTAGGCCTGTTTTTCACTTTTGTTTACCCACACCCAAGCCCACCTGCCCACTACATGAAGTTACATCTTCATTAGCTTTCCCTGCCTTCCACAGATAAATTTAACCTGGTTAAGTGTAATATGTACTCATTCTACCTCTACAACTTGAAACATACCTCTATGATTGCACATACTCTCCCCTCATGTTGTCATTTATTTGTCATGGGTCTCTCTTGTTCTTATAGGCTGTGAATTCCATGAGAGTTTATTAAGATCAGCACTCCCCAACACTTAACAATGAAGCTGGAAATGGCAGGTATCCAAGAAAAGTTAGTTGAATTATCATTTGCTCTCCAGCAGACCAAAGTGGTCAGGCAATTCTGAGTTTCACATAATCTGGCAATGATAAAGATCTATTCTCTTGGGCTTCATACTGAAGTTTTGAAAGTTCTTAACAGTTTCTTCCATCCCTTGCCTCTCTTTAAAGATTGATCAAAATAGAAAACAACTTACAAGTCTTTTCTTGTACTTATAACTAAATAGAATTTACAGAGATTTGCAGACCCCCAAATGTTCTTCTTATGAATCCACTGGTATTGGAATTATATCAGATTTGTTTCTCATTCTTTAATGAGAGTTAATCAGTTTCATGGAATCTTAGTACTTTCTTTATGCTTCTAGAAAAAGAGACATCTACAGAACCAGAAATCACTCCCTAAATGGCAGAAATAAAGATGTTAGCAAGTGAAGTTATTTGACTCCACCCTTAAAGAAATTACCGTGATCACTGATCATGAGTGTTGGTTTGCTTTTGAGCCCACAAATTCCTTAGATCGTGAATGTCTATCAATTGAATGTTTAAAAAATGCATTCCTAACACAGTATGATTTTTGAAACTGACTTTGTTTTCCTGTGCTCCATATCAGAAAAAGCAACATAGACCAGAGTTGATTCACATCTTCACTCTCAAAGGGGAATTTATGAGATATTCCATGAAAAGAGGAGATAGGGATGGCATGATAACTTAAATCCACAAATAATCCTCAAATCCAGTATCATCAAAGTAATTCTAGCTTCTACTCACCTTTCCCCTTATCAGAGCTGCCCTCAGAGTGGAGTTGACAAATTAAGCTTCATCGTATTGGATTCCTTGGCATCACTTGCACATGAAAGGACCAGAAGCAAGGAAGGAAAGGTAGGAAGGAAAATAAAAGAAAATCTGTAATTTGTATAGAACCTGAATTACTGAGATTTGATACATTCACTAAAATTAGTAACTATCACAGGTCTCTTGCCCATTAGAGAGGAGAATAGAAGTTCTCCTGTCCTCCGTTCTTTTTGTTCTCTCCACTCTTCACACAATGTATGCAGTATGATTTTTTAAAAATACAGTGTGTCCTGGCCCGCGGGTAAGTCAACGGAGACCCTAGAGGGGGAGCGAGGATGAGAGGGGACAGGGGACACGAGAGATGGAGACAAGACAGGTTTCTGATCAAGTCTCGTTTATTGCGGAAGCTGCTACAACATATATACCGTAGGGCGAGAGGGGAGGAGCAAGAGGAGTGTACTGGGGCTACTTCCTTGTTGCCGGGTAGATCTGCAACAAGCCCGGGCATGTCCGTAATAGGCACTCAAGAATTCCAGGGGGGGGGGGGGGGGGCAAGGCCCCCCACAACAGTGAATTTTAAAAATATTTTTAATTTGTTAAGGTAAAAGACACATTGCCATTAACCCCCTCCCCACACTCAAAATACTCCCTCTCACATCAAACACACTTATCCCATTATTCCTGCCACTTTCTAGAGCCATTCTGGAAGTCCTTTTTCATGCATGTCTTTAGTAATGCTGTTGTGACTGCCTTAATGTCCTGAATTAATTCAAAATATTTACCTTTCATGGTCATTTTGACTTTGGGGAAGAGCTAAAGTCACACAGTATCAGATTTTGTGATTATGAGGACACACTATAATGTTTTAATTTGACAAGAATTGTCATACCAGAAATGATGTATGACATGGACAATTGTCATGATGGAGGATGAAACTTTTTGCTCATTTTTCAGCCATTTTCTATGCACAGTTTCTTGAAAGCTCTAATAACCCTATATAATATTCAGAATTCATTGTACTATTCCTGGGTACAAACTCAGTTCATCAAATTCCATCAAGGTCAAAAAACATGATCAATGTCACTTTGATGTCAGATCTTGATTGACATGCTCTTTTGCACATGGAGAACTGGGTGACTTCCATTGAGAACTCTGAACATTAGCTTCAGGATCATAACCATAGACCCAAGTATCATCTCCTGTTTTGATATTTCTTAAAAAGCTGGAATCTAAAGTGACACAATCTCAAAACTCCTATGAAAATGACAAAATTTTCTGTTAATGTGTTGTTCATGATCCATGATTCACAGCACACTTTAAAACACACCTTTCAATTGTAGCTCACTGTACCAAACAAGTTGAAGCTTGTAACACACTGTTACTACGGTTTGATACACTGCTTCTCTATTGAAGGTCCCTGCCTTTCTGTTGGATGGCATACTACAGCAGTATTCTCCATATTCTTTGATCACATCTGGTATGCTGGGGAAATATTTCTCCCAAAGGAACTCTAAATTCCTTCTGATTTAGTTATAGTAGAGGACCTATAATCAGTATTTCCTAAGCATCCCTCAGGTGAAATGGGCAAGAAGGCAAAGAAGATTGACTGATATTGTTGGACTTAGGTGGAGGCTGGGAACATGCAGGAATTTGGAACTATTTTCATTTTCTCGTTTGAACTCTACTAAGATCCAATGTTGGCAAATTACAGCACATGAGCCAACCACCTGTTTTTGTAGATGAAGTTTTATTGAAACCCAGCCACATCCACTCATTTGCATATTGAGCCTGTCTGCTTTCCCACTACAATTAGCAGAGTGAGTGGTTGTGATTGATACCATTTGGCCCATAAAATCTGAAATATTTACTCTTTGACCCTTTACCGAAAGTCTGCTGACCCCTGCTAAGATCAACTCTGAGCAAAGAGATAAGAAATCTAAATGAAATCACAGACTTCAATAGTTTATTACCAATTGCATTTAGAAATTATAATAGGATGTAACATGTTTATAATAAATAGACAATGTCTTTTCAACCAGCTGGGATCCCATTAACCTACAACTGTTACAAACAGTATTACAAACAAGTATTACAAACAGCTACAGAAAAAAGCTTTATTTTCCTCACATATGAAATCTAGATGGCATTAATTCAGCACTTAAAATTTCATCAAGGAACCAGGCCTATTTTATTTGTGACACCAAGACAACAATGGTGAGATTCTTGTCTTTTTCTTCTTGTTGGTTACAAAATAGGTGCTATGCATCAAACATAATGTTCATGCTCAAGGAAGAAAAAACAGAGAAGAAGGGAGAAGAATCATATCCTCTGTCCCTGTTCTTTTCTACCTGGAAATGAACAGCTTTTCCAGAAGGCCCCTCAAACCCCTCTGTCAGACACCTGCTTACATTTCACAGCACCCCGCCTTTGCTGTCCACATTAGATACCTGGGAAAACAGGTATCTAACACTCCACCCTCTTTGTGAGGAGGCTGCAAACAACAAGGAACTTGGAATAACCAGTCAACAGTGTCTTCCATAGAATGCTTTTCTCATTTTAGGTGTGTAGGCACAGAGGGAGTGAACAATGAATATTTGTTATGTGGCCAGAAACACAGGTTGCTAAGTCAATTATTTCTTTTCTTCAAAATAAAAAGAATAATGTCTAGATAGAAACTGCAAAGCTTTATATAAAGATGCTCTTGGGGATCTTTTGAGAAAACAGTTGAGAAGAGCTGGACAGGAAAATGCTCTAGGTGAATGGAGAGCTAATATGCCTTCAAATAGATGTCACCTGTCCTCTCTGCTCACCAAATAGTCCTAATTAGATCAGCATAGTATGGGATAAGGGTTCATTTTAGGACCAGGCTTTCTTTAGGAATTTGTGTTCAAGCTAAAAACATTTGCACTGTTTCCTATAGGAACATAAAGATAACCACTTAATGATAAACATTAAACTAGTCCGTTTAAATACACCAATAAGATAATTAAATCTTAGCAGGGGTCTGTAGGTGGAATTAGTCTCATATACATAGAAATCATTTTTTATAACACTTTTGGTTTGTTTAACCTTACTACCTACAACGCAATTATTTTGTGGTATATATGCAAATTTATTTTATAATAAAAAACCTCAAAAGCTGAAGACTTGTAAGTTTGAAACACATTACATTAGCACTGTCTTAGAGGGTTCATGCCATTGTTATACCCAGGCCATCTTCATCTCTTTATCTTTAAGCTTAATGCATGTGGCCTGATGTCACTTCCTAGTTATACAACCAGAGGACAAAAAGTAAACATAGCATGACAAGGATTTAGTTTAAGCTGGAGCGTTTTCCAGGATTCTTTTAGGATAATAACTTTTATAAAACAACAATTTGCTTAGTCTTGCTGGATCTAGTCAGGAAAACAGCATTTCATAAATTTACAAGAGCGGGAACTTAACATAGGGCATTACATGGAAAAGCCCGAGAAGCCAATGGGAGTGGTGGGGCTAATAGGAAGCCCTTCCAGGTTGCAGAGACTGAGGAAGTAGGTGGTGCTGTCAGACCTCAGAAAACAGGGACATCTCATGGGGACTAGAATCATGGAAAGCCTATGTGGTGGAACTGGACCTGCTAAGGAGACATAGCTGGGACAAGAGTCCCATCTGAAAGCACAGTGGAAAGCAGAGCTGTGCCTGGTTTCTCCTTCCCACGCTTCATTCTTCCTCCAACTCCTCCCTTTGTCTTAGTCTAGCTGGAAGCCAATTGACTTGTTGGCCAAGAAATGTGGCCTTGCAGGCAGTCAGCTCTCAGTCACACAGAGTGGAACAAGGGAAGAGTAAGAAATGAATTTGGAAGCAAGCAGACCCAAAAAGAGTACAGAACCTTTATTCCTCACTCTTCCCCTCCATAGATGTAAACCAACTCTTTGGTCTCTAGTAATTATTAACTTGTATTTCTCAGCTATCTGGCTTGAGTTCTTTCCAGTGTAGATTAGGATATCTATGTAAGTATAATAACAATCTCCATTGTATATCCAATTGATAATAAACACCACTAGACTCTATAGGAAATACCAAGAATTAAGAAGACAGTATTCCAGACTATAATTTACCCTTAAACTTATAGTTAGGAGGAGATTTCATAAAAAGGTAAATCCTAAAAGATGTCAAAAGCTTCACATAGAGGAGGTTGGAAAAGGGTTTTCAGCAGAGAGAATACCCTAAAGAATTGGGAAGAACATTTTGCATGGCACACAGACATCCTTAGCTGTAACAGTCTTGATGGGCTTGAATGACATAGAAGTTAGTGGAATATTTTGGAGTTCCAACAGAGGACTTTAAATTTGATTAGTACAGACCACAGTAAACTTTTGAGTACAAGATGGCATTGAGTTCAGCTGGTCCTAAAGAATACTAGTAGCAAAGACTAACTGGATGGTAGAGAACCAACTGTCCAGTGTGAGAATAGTTCATGTGATAGTTGAGAATGTAGTTTCTGAAGCAAAGCTGTCTGGGTTCAAATCCTTGTTCTACTATTTACTCAATCCTTCTCTAGAGGACAAAGATTATATGAGAATTAGTCTCCCTCTTGTAGGGTTTCAAGCATCAATTTTGTTCCTAGCACATGATAAATGTTATCTATTATTGAAATCATAGTAGAAGATGAGTTTACCAAGGAAGGAATAGAGAAAGAGTAAAATGCCCCTTCAGGCAACTCAGATGTTTCTTTGCCAGCATTGGTAATCTAAATTTTAGTTGAAGTCACTGTGAATGCATAAACTCATTGCAATATTGAGTTCAGAAGAAGAAAAACAGGACCCAGGGCAGACAGAAGAAACAAGAGAAAAAGCAGTCAGTGAAATAATGAGAGAAACCTGTGGACAAACATATTAAGACCTCAGAGAATAATAAAACCTTACAAACAGTGGTCATTTGGCAAGATGTTGAAAACCCTGGATGGATATCTTCTGTTCAGCTTGCTAAGCTTGTTCTCTGCTTACTCTGCCCTAGGCATTACCATCATTTTTGCTTCTTGCAGTATTTTAAATAGTGTTACAGGAGTAAGAGCCAAGTCACAATGTTGTATAAGGGCCTGTCATCAGTGAGCATTGGAAAACTAAGTGATACATTTTTAAAATCATTCACAGGGAGTTGAGTGTACATCTCTAAATCTTCCAAGGGAGCCATTTGGGAATGATACAAACACCACATTTTCTCAAAGGGTACCAGATCCACATCACTGGTACCAATTTTCTTGTTTCTCACTGGAGGCTGAAGACAATAAAGGGTAGAAGTGAAGATATTACAAGTAACCACAAAACAACCAAAATTGTTGCAAATGGTCTATTGTTACCCTGACACTAGCCCTGGCCAAGGCTATAGTATACATCTGCATGACCTGTGGTTATTATCTCTGAGGTTTGGAGTGGACTGTGAAGTGCTAATCTGGGGCTAAAGATAAGGAAAGGAGACAAGGAAGAGAGAGATGGGTGGACAGATTTGCTGTAGTTTCCCTCTCTCTCTCTCTCTCTCCCTGTCTCTCTCTCTCTCTCTCTCTCTCTGTGTGTGTCTTGATTCAATCCATCTTTCTTCTTTCCACAATTCTGTTCTATCAATTATCAAACTCTGCTTTGTTCTTGACAAGTCTTCCAAGTCCCAGAATCCTCTTTTACTTAATAATATGCTCATGTATTTTTCTACCTTAAGAAAGCAAAAGCAACAATCTTCTAATCTTTCTTCTTCTCTTTATACTGAACCTGTCAAAAAAATAATCTACACACATTAGCTTCTTTTGTTATTAATCATTCCTAAACCCTTTGAAGTGACCTCTTATAGCACCAATTTGAAATTGTCTTCTCATAAATTATTATTGATATTCTAACCCCCATATCCCATGACTTCTTCTGAATCATTCTCAATTTCTGTAGCATTTTATGCCATTGATCAATCTCTGTTTCAAAAAAAATGTGCCTTAGGGCCGGGGATTTAGCTCTGTAGTTTTGCCGCCTGCTTCGCAAGTGCAAGGACCCGAGTTCGATCCCCAGTACCAAAAAGAAAAAAAATGTGCCTTGGCTTCCTTGACGTAAGTTGATCTTGGTTGATCTGATGGCAATCTCTTGCATCTTTTTTTTAATTAAGTTTGTTGGTACATTTTAGGTATACATTATGATCACATTCATCATTGGGATTTTGTACCTATACAGGATATATCTTGGTTCTTGTTTTTTCCCATTCCCTTCCTTCCCTTCTACCCCTCCCTATTTACAAAAGCTTTGTTTCCATTTTTTCCTTTTTTTCTCATTTTTTTCTTTCCCTTCTTTCCTTTCACCCACCCCCTAGTTCCCATTCCCCTTTGAAGCTTTTCTTCCTATTTCACATTATCTATTATATATTTTGGTCTTCATTTACACTTACAGTGTCTTACACTAGGGAAACAATTCAGTATTTACACATGTGTGTCTTATTTATTTCACTTAAGAGTATGGACTCAAGGTGCATCCATTTAGCTATAAATGTCTCTATTTTATCATTCTTTATGTCTGAGTAGTACTACATTTTATATTAAAAAAATCTTTATCCAGTCACCAGTTGATGGACATTTGGGCTGTTTCCAAGATTTAGCTGTTAGAAACTGTGCTGCTCTGTAGAAATCAGTATGGAGATACCTCAAAGAACTAGGACTGGAAGTCCCATTTGACCCTGCTATTCCACTGCTGGGGATCTTCCCCAAAGAATTAAAAGAATCATACCACAGTGATATATGTGCACCCATGTTCATAGCAGCGCAGTTTGTAATAGCTAAAACTTGGAAACAGCCCAAATGCCCATCAACTGGAGACTGGATCAAGAAAATGTGGATTTTTTATAAAATGGAGTACTACTCAGCCACAAAAAATGAGAAATTAGAGACATTTATAGCTAAGTGGATGCACATTGAGGCAATACTCTTAAGTGAAATAAATAGGACACACATGTGTAAATACCGACTAGTTTCTCTGGTGTGAGAAATTGAAAGTGTAAATAAGGGCTAAATGTATAATAGGTAATGTGAAATAGGAAGAAAAGGGGCAAAGGGGAAGGAAGTGGGAGGGCTAGGGGAAAGGATAGAAGGGAATGGGATTAATATGAGAAAATGGAAAAATAGGAACAAAATCTTTGTAAATAGGGAGGACTGGAGGGGTTGAAGGGAGGGCTGGGCAAGGGTGAAAAATAGGAACCAAGAGAAACTATGTAAAGGTGCAAATTTCCAATGCTGAATGTCATTATATTGTATACCTAAAATGTACCAATGATTAGAATGAATAATCGATAATGTAAAATAGGAAGAAAAGGTCCAAAGGGGTAGGGGTAGTGGGAGGGGCAGGGGAAAGGAAAGAAGGGAAAGGAAAAATGATGAGAAATGGAAAAAATGGAAATAAAGTCTTTGTAAATAGGGAAGAGTGGAGGGCGTGAAGGGAGGGCTAGGAATGGGGAAAAAATAAGAACCAAGATGCATTACGTAAAGGTACAATTTCCAATGAGAAATGTAATTGTGTTGTATACCTACACTATACCAATAAAAGAATTTAATACAAAAAAAAAGGAGAAAAAAAAAGAAACTGTGCTGCTATAAACATGGGTGCACATACATCACTGTGATATGATGCTTTTAATTCTTTTGGGAAGATACCTAGCAGGGGAATAGCTGGGTCAAATGGGATTACTAATCCTAGTTTTTTGAGGAATCCCCAAAATGATTTCCACAATGGTTGCACCAGTCTATGCTCCCACCAACAGTGGAGAAGGGCTTCTCTCCACAGCCCCACCAGCATTTGTTGTTGGTTGATTTCTTGATAGCAGCCATTCGTTCTAGAGTGAGGTGGAATCTCAGCATTGTTTTTATTTGTATCTCTCAAATGACCAGTGATATTGAACATTTTTTCATATGTTTATTTGTTGCTTCTACTTCTTTGTCTGAGAAATGTTCATTTCAGATGCCCATTTTTGGATTGGGTTTTTAAATTTGTGGAGTCTGAGTTTTTTGAGTTCTTTATATATTCTAGATATTAGTCCTTTGTCTGAGGAACAGCTGGTAAAAAATTTTCCCACATCGTGGGTTGTCTCCACTCTATTGGTAGTTTCTCTTGCTGTGCAGAAGCTTTTTAATAAGATGAGATCTCAATTGTTGATTCTTTGTGCTAGTTCCAATGCAACTGAGGTTTTGTTCATAAAGTCTTTTCCTACACTAATGTCTTCAAGAGTTCTACCTAGCCTATCTTCTAGCAGGTTCAGTGTTTCTGTTTTAATATTTAGATCTTTGATCCATTTCAATTTTAGTTTAGTCCATGATGAGTGATATGGGTCAAGTTTTAATCTTTTTGCCTCTCTAATTTGCCTTTGCCACTTCCATCTTCCACTCCCTTACTAGAGGTGCCCTCCTAATAGTCAACTTTTATCATTTTAATCACTCAAATCCCTTGATAACCCCAATTTTTCCAGACCCTTGACTATTTCCTCAGAAAAGATGGCTCCCAGATCTATATTCCTAATCCAATACTGCAGGTACACATTTCCAGCATTCTGCTGAACATCAGTATTTACTAAAAGCTAGCCTCTACTTCTTAACTAATTTCCTCAATCTCCTGGGTTTCCTGTCTCCAACAGGAGCATTTCCATCATACCATACCATCCCCCAGACTCAAAGGTACAAATTATTTTTGTGCCTCCTTTATGTAATTAGTCCCCAGGTACCAGCAACTCTACCTCCACCTTGCTCAAATCTGTCACTTCCTTTCCATGACCACGGCTACTGTCTAAGCTGTTCCTGTTTGTCTCAAATATCACCATATCTTCCCGTTACCTTTTGTTTCATTCTACTTTTCCCCTGTTCTATCTTGAATCTTTCTTCATTACCTTTTCTAATAATACTTCATATACAGATATAGATATATAGAGATAAAGACCCCAAAACTCCACAATATGGGTCCTCTTATTTGACAGGAGTAACCCCCACTATTGTTCTTTATACATACTTTTCCCTTTACATCTTTTTCCTTCTTTTATTAGTTTTGTAAGGCTGCTGTAACAAAGCACCACAAAGTGAGTGGTTTAAAACAACAGAAATGAAGCCAGGCATGGTGGCGCACACCTGTAATCCTAGCACTAGGGAAGCTGAGGCAGGAAGATTGCCGTGAGTTTGAGGCCAGCCTGAACTACATAGAGTTTGAGGCCAGCCTGAACTACATAGTGAGACACTATCTCAAAAAAATAAAAATAAAACAACAGAAATGTATTGTTCACAATTAGGAGACTAGAAGTCCAAAATCAATGTGTCAGCAGGGTCATGTTCCCTATGAATGATCTAGGGGAAGAATCCTTCCTTGCCTCTTTTAACTCTAGGAGGCTGCTGGCAATCATTAGCGCACTTGGTCTGTAGATGCATTACTCCAACCTCTGTGTTCCTCTTTATACGCCCTTCCTTCTCTCGCAGGTATCTGTGTACAAATTCCTATCTTCTTATAAGGACACCTGGCAACCCTAATCCAGTATGACTATATTTTAACTTGATTGTGTCTGCAAATCCTGTTTCCAAATGAGGTCACATTGTATATGGACTGAATGTCTGTGTCCTTCTAAAACTCATATGCTGAAATCCTTAATCCCTCCCCTCCCCTCCCCCACCAAAATGATGGTATTAGAAAATAGGGCTCTTGAAAGATAATTAAGTCCTGGGAAGTCAGGTGATTGTGGGACTCCTAGGAAGAGGCTCCATTACCTTGGAGAAACAAAGGGGTCCTTAGTTTGGCTGTGTAGCAGCCCTCTACGTGTCTCAGTTGGAGCTGGACGGGCACAGCGGCTAGTGAATTTCAGGATGACTGACACTACTAACGCTACTCCAAATTTTGAAGAGATGTTTGCAAACAGATTCACAGAAGATGACAAAGAATACCAAGAATATTTGAAACACCCTCCTGAATCCCCTCCAGTTATTGAGGAATGGAATAACAGAGCTGGTGGGAACCAAAGAAACAGAGGCAATCGGTTGCAAGATAACAGACAGTTTAGAAGTAGGGACAGCAGACGAGGGTGGCCAACTGACAATCGATCAGACCAGTGGCATGGAAGATCCTGGGGTAACAATTACCCGCAGCACAGACAAGAGCCTTATTATCCACAGCAATATGGACAATATGGTTATAACCAGTGGCCTCCCTACAGTTACTACTGATAGAAATATTGGCAACATCTTTTAGTAAAACCATTTACTTTGTTAATATAACAAAAACTCGTGTGTGTCCTGTTGATCATAGTTTTCCATCTCATTTTAGAGAATGGATTATTAATGTTTTAGAACTTGAGACTTTTTTAAAAATAGATCTTACAGAGAGATCTAATGGTTGCTGGGAATAACTACTCCCCTAAAAATACTGTGGATTATATTGCTTGACTTCTACTTCAGATTCTTCATTTCAAGACATCATAGTGCTTTGAGTTTGGTATATTTTCCTTGTATGACCTCCAGAAGTTCTGTTTAAGACAGAAATAAAAAATGCAAATAAAAAATGCTTGCTTTTACTTTGTAAGATAAAAGGATATCCCTATTAGATTCCAATTCAGATGTGCTTCTTTCTAAAATTCTACAGAGGTAGTACAATCAGTTCACGAATGCACTGCTATGCTTATTTATGATGTGTAACATCAGCATTTGAAAGCTAAAACAATTGTATATTTCTTTTGGCTTCTGTTATATGAGTATGGTACTTTGTGACTGCTTACTCTATAGGTATAGTCAGCTCCACAACTAATTTGGTCTCTTTTTAGAGGAAAATCAAGAATAAAGCTATAAAATGAGAAGAAAAAAAAAGAAAGATAATTAAGTCCTGAGAGTAGAGCCCTCATGATGGGATTATTGCCCTTACAAAAGAGACCTCAGAGAGCTCCCTCACTCTTTTATCTACCATGTGAAGGTACAAAAGCCAGCAGTCTGTGTATCTCAGAAGAGGGTACTCAGCAGAACCGACCACGCTTATACTCTGATCTTAGACTTCCAGAATCCAAAACCTGTGATAAATAAATTGTGGTTTCATTGTATTCTGCTAAATAAGCCTAAATTATCTAACCCATACTTAGAGATTCAGTGGTTAGAGCATCAACGTACATTTTTTGGGGGAAATAATTCAACATCTTTGCAGAGATGAGCTTCTCCTTCTATCCAACTCCATCAGTCAAAATCCTTCTACTGCTTCAGAATCTAGTCAATCTTCACCTCTGCCATGAAGTTACTCTTAATCCCCTCACAACTCCTCTGAGGTAATGTGATATTTTGCCGCTTTTATAACACAGCAGTATCTATACAGCTTTCTGATACTAAATCCTAAATTCCTCAAGACAAGGACATATCTATCATTTATCTTTGTACACCCCTAAATGCCTAGTAGTATGCCTTTTACTTGTGAATTCAGTTGGTTATATCTAATTTAAAATTTTTTCTTTATGGATATGAGATTTTCACCATTCTTATTTTTTGTCACTTAAAGTATTTTTTTACTTTCATCATTAAATCAAAATGTTGGCCAGGCCCAAAGAATTTCAATCTGGTTTACTTTTTATTCAGCATTGAAAATCTCTCTCTCTCCTCTATGGGTCATTTTTTATCCATCTATTTTTTCCTTGAATTATTTTGAAGTTAATAATTCAGGTGCCCTGAACTGAGTTGAAATCTAATCATCAGGCAGTCAAAAGATATTCCAGGGAATGGTCTAGGGACCCTGGCTTGACCTTCAACCTCAGTCTTCTAGGCAGGACTTGAAGAGTCAAATCAACATAATCAAACACAAATTCTTTTTAAGTCTAATTTTTATGTTTTAAACATATAAATAATTCTGTATTGTAAGGTTGTTATAATTAATATGGGATTCCTAATCCCATATTAATTTATTTTTGATTCCTACAGGTTTTAAATTGGAAATAGATGGAATAATTTATGAATGCTTCTGTATCTTAATTAGAGTAGGTAGCTATCCTAGTTTTTCACCTAGAGGTGCTGTGTGTGTGTGTGTGTATGTGTGTGTGTGTGTTCTGAAATGGCTAGAATCTGCTTAATCTCCTAAACAGATTGAGCACATAGACACTAATAACATTCAGACTATAGGTCTTTGGTCAAGGACATGGTTCTCTTTTTAATGCATATTTGGGACAGACAGAATTACTAAAGATCAACAGTCACGGGGAGAAAAGGAAAAACAAGTGGAATAGTAGATTGAAATGGTGTTTAAGGGCTAGTTTCTCTCCATGCACTCGCTCCACAGAAAGGGTCCTAGGGGCTGTGGGAAAATAGGCGGCCTCCGGGCTGTGAGCTAATGCAGCACTGCTGCTGTTTGCTTAGCTGCACAGCCCTAGGAGAGACCTGAGAAAACTAGCTTGAATTCCAATGAATATTTACAATTACACTGCTCCAGAGCAAAATGCAATAACAGTGCTTCAGTCTACAGGTTTTATGCATCAAAAGAAAATGAGAGGAGAGCAGCAAAAATGGAGTTGCCTTTGGAGAGACTTATAAACACAGATCTCACTGCTTGTGGCAGAATTAAAATGCTTTATTTCTGATAGGAGCAATTTATTCTTCAGGCACCTTCCTTGATAGTAGAAAGCACCCGGCTGGGTTTTGAAGTGAGAAAGTCTTCAGTACATGGTTTTAATTTGAGCAAGTGAAAGGCATGGAAGGAATTGTATTGCATAATTTTGATTTTGTTTTCTAAAAACAGACCATAGAGAAAAATGTGAAAATCCCTAAGCTGGCTCACAAACTCCCTCTTCTTTTAGTTTGAATTTTTATCCTGTTCATACAGATTGTCATTTCTTCATGGGATAACTCTGGGAAAAGCTGCCACTATTTTGTGTCCCCAGTTTAAAGCCTTTGGGTAATTGATTACTAGTAACAGATGCAATCCGCTGTGCTCATTTTTTCTCATGAGATGTTGATCCACACCAAAGATCTGGTGAGAAATGGATAGAAAATATTAATCAGAGCCATTTCGACCCAGTGAGGTAGTTTTTAACTTCCAGAGGTGCCAAAATAGATGAAATTGAATGTTTTACAAGGACTCCATCAGAACCTGGTTCTGTGGTTCGTCTGACTAATCTCTTAGACTATTAAGATTTATACTGCATTATTATTTTCTAGCAGCCTGGGTTGCTGCACTAAGCAGAAGCCTTCTGAAATACCTACCTTTATTTTTATCCATTTATCAGTCCATTTTCTCCTATCAAGATGCTACTGACCCCATGTGCCTACCTTATGCTTGCTTACCCACTAATATATCTGTCCTTTTATATATACAGTGGACCCTTGAGTTATGACCAGCCTGACATACGAACAACTTGGGTTATGACCAGAATGTTAGTTTTAACTTACAACCAAAGTGTTGAGTTATGACCCAAATGCTGGCCGCTTGTGCTTCCAGATGGTCTCAGATACAGATTTAACCCTTAAAGAGTTCTGGAAGGAACATGACAACATCCTTTCCTGTGTGGGGTTGAGAAATTCTGAACCAGTGTCTCTCCAAGGATGCTGAGATCTGCCTGTACACAGGAGAGAGACTTTGAAGGCTGTGTAGAGGAGCCTGAGCCTTCAACTGACCAATTTGAGTTATAACCAGCACTCATGAATGAACTGAGTTTGTAAGTCAAGGGTCCACTGTATCTATATCAACCTGCTTGTAAGTATCTATTATGGTTTAGATTTAAAATATCCCCCAAAAGTCTCACATGTACAAAGGTGGGGCTTTTAGATGGTATCTTAGTTACTTTTTCTTGTTGTTGAGACAAAATACCTACAAGTTGAGGGAGGAAAGTTTTATTTGGCTCACAGTTTCTATAGGTTTCAGTCCATAGTCAGCTGACTCCAAGGCAGGGTGGCATGGCAGAGGGGCATTGCAGAGGATAAATAGTTCATGACAGGCAGAAGACAGCAAAAGCAAGCAAGTCCAAGTAACCTTAGCAACTTCTTTCTGACCCTTTTATATCCTATCTAGGCCACCAGGCTTAGGGTAGGTGCCAAACCAATCAGTGGACTGATTTAGTAATTACAGCCCCTTAATCCCAGCACCCTTAATCCTAGTATTGCACCATGAATCAATCACACACTCTAGATCTAGCCATCTCTGAAAAAGCCCCACCTATGACCACATGAGGCTTTGAGGAGAACATCTACACACAAACCATAACATATATACTAAAATTCATTGTATTATACATCGTTTTTGTGTATGATACTAAGGATTGAACCCAAGGCCTTCACACTGAACAACATCTCCAGCCCCATTTTTATGTTTTATTTTGAGACAAGATTCCACTAAGTCATTAAATTGACCAGACTAGACTCAAAGTTATGATCTTTCTGCCCCAGCCTCCCAGAATGCTGGGATTACGAGCATATTTCACTATACCTGGCTACTTGTACACTTTAAATGGGTGAATTATATATGTGTTATTTTCAATAAAAACATTTTATTATATAAAAGATATTTATAAGCCATTCTAAAAGCATTGACCCATTACTTTATCATCTTTCATAATACTTTTAGGTTAAAAAATAGTTTTAGCCAACTTTTTGACATATTTCTTTCAGATGCTTGGTCTCCAATGATTTTTAAGTCTTTTTATAAATCAGATCTACTGTAAAGTGATGAATATTTGCCACTAGTGATAACAAAAATAAAGGCCAAAGCTGATGAGAAAATTGCCCAGAAAACAGTTTCCAAAATTTTTATTTAAATCTGTGAAATAAATGGATCATTGCTCTACATGATCCAATTCTTCCATTTGGTACTATAAATTCTGATGTATGTATTTTGTTTTCAAAAAGTGACATTTTATATACATATATGTATATGTACACATGACTTTACATCCAAATTCATTGGTGTATACATATATACATATAATTTGGAATATACATATAATAGATAAATATATAGCACATATATGTGTGTTAAGTCTTTGATTTGTAACAGAACAAATAAAAAAATTGAAATGAGATTTTTCTTCTATTCATTCATTCAACAAATGTGTATTGTGCATTTAATATAGGACAGATGAAAATGAAAGAAGTATTTATCAGGACAACTCCTTATCAAATTAAATAGAGATAGTAGAGATTTTTGGTAAACTCTAGAACCCAGACCAGAGGGTAGAGGCCAAATAATACATTAGTGCTTAAGAGCAAAGAAAACTCTGTAGGATAGTCAACAGAAACAAGTGTTTCCCTGGAGAAATTCTTTGGCAAATATTTTTTAAAGCTTCTAAAAGGGCCTTTGGCCAGTAGAATATCCAAAGGAATTTGGATAACTAATTATCTTGGCAAGAACTTATATGCAGTTGCTATTGACCTCCAGAGAGGAATCCATCTTCAGTTCTTCCCATAGTTTTAGGCCCTCCAGCAGTAAGTATCCTATAATTTGTATTAAAATGGTTCCTATTGGTCCTTTCAACTAATGACAACTGCAAAATAGTACAA